TTGCAGTGGTCCCTAAGCCTACCTCTCTGGCACCCCCTTCAATAAAGTCTACGAACATGAACAAACAGGGACCAGCAGTTAGCATAATGGCTATGTCACTGGACTCCCATGTAGCCAACCGCGGTTTGAGTCCTGGACGCCGGGCACATGTGCGTGCGTGCCCAAGATCCCGAGGGGAGAATGGAGAAGGGATTGAGGTGTGGCCATCCCCCCTGGGGGGTGATTTCTCACTTTCTATCTGTCTCTGTCTTTCTGGTGAGTGCATGCGCCTTATAGCAAAAACTTCTCCAAAAAAAATGAAAAAACAAACGAAAACTCTCCTGTCTTTCATCCATCCAGTGGTCAAGTCAATCTTTTTTTTTCCCTTGGAAGAAGTTTTTGCCTTAGGGCACATGGGGGGTGGGGGGAACAAGACAAGACAATGAGACAGAAAGTGAGAAATCACCCTCAGGAGGGGAATGGCCATGCTGCAATCCCTTCTCCATTCTCTACCCAGGATTTGGGCATGCATGTACACATGCCTGGTGTGAGTTTTGAACCATATTCAGTCATGTAGGAGTCCAGCAATGTAACCATTAAGCCATTTGCTGGTTCCAGTCAAGTGGATCTTAAGGGACTGTCATCTTTTTAAATTTGTTAGCGTAATGGCTATGTCGCTGGACTCCCACGAAGTCAACCGCGGTTTGCATCCCGGACCCGGTGGCTTAAAACTCACGCCGGACGCATGTGCATGCGTGCCCCAAGATCCCGAGAGGAGAATGGAGGAGAAGAGATTGCGGCGTGACCATCCCCTCTGGGGGGTGATTTCTCACTTTCTGTCTCTATGTCTCTCTCTGTCTGTCTGGCGAGCGCAGGCGCCCTATAGCGAAAACCTCTCCAAAAACAAACAAAAAAAACTTGTTGGGCCAGCTGGTGGGGTGGTGTGGTTAAGGAGGTTGGATTCCACGTGGCTGACTGGGCAGTTAAGTCCCAGACCTGGCAGTTTGAAAAACATGCCAAGTTTATATGTGTGTAGGAGAAATGGAGAGAAGGGACAGTGGCATGGTCATCCCCCCATGAGATGTGCATTTTCACTCTTTCTCTCTCTCTCTTTGCCTCTCTGGTGAGTACATGTACCCTCTAGAAAATCAAATTTAAAATCATTTTTCACGTTTTAAGAATTATGTTTGCATTCTCTGTACGCCTGTGTGAGTGGTGTCTGAGTCTAGCTATGTTTTGATCCTCCGGTGTTCACCTCTCCAGTAGCTGGGACTACCAGTACACACCACCCTGCCCAGGTTTTAGAGTGGGCCAAAAATTGAACCCGGGCCTCCCATGTGACTTCAACCTGCTGAGTAGTAGCATCCAGGGTGTGTTACCATGGTTGGGCCTATTTACGTTTTAATTTTTTAATTTTAATTTGTTTTGTCCTTTAAGTGCCAGAGGGTGCATGCAGTCATGAGAGAGACAGACAGACGGTAGAGGGAGAAAGCATCCCTGCCCCAGTGGGGAACGGTCAAAAGCTCTGCAATAAAAAATACTGATAAGGTGCAGGCTTCATACCTAGAGTTTGTTTTTGTTCAATTTTATGCATTATTCGGGACCAGCAGTTAGCGTAATGGCTATGTCGCTGGACTCCCATGTAGTTGACCGCAGTTCAAGACCCGGACCCGGTGGCTTAAAACTCACACCGGGCACGTGTGCATGCGTGCCCAAGATCCCAAGAGGAGAATGGAGAAGGGATTGCGGCGTGGCCATCCCCCCTGGGGGGTGATTTCTCGCTTTCTGTCTCTCTGTCTATCTATGTCTGTCTGGTGAGCGCATGCACCCTTGGACTCAGAGGCCTCTAAAAATAAAATATTTAAAAATTTTAAAAAAATATGCATTATTCTTGTTGGGTTAAAATAATACTGCACATTTAGAACTTTTATGACTCTAGAATACAGTATGCCATATCAAAACAAAAATAGGACCAGCAGGTGGCATGAAAGATAAGGATCCTACAAGGCCCACTGAGTGGTTCAAGTCTTGACTAGGCAGCTTGAAAACCATGATGGGATGAGGCCAGTAGATGACATAGAGTTTGCATCACTGGACTCCCACACCGATCGCAGTTCCAGTCCTGGACTCAGAGGCTTGAAAATCATGCTGGACACATGTGCATGCATGCCCCCGAGATCAATCCTGGGAGGAAAAAGGAGGAGGAGGGATGTGGCATGGCCATTTCCCCTTGGGGAGTGATTTCTTACTTTCCCTTTCATTGTCTCTGTCTCTGTCTCTCTCTCCCCAGATTGCAAACATGCCCTAAGGCAAAAATTTAAGAACAGAAACAGAAAAAGAGAAACACAATGGGAATGCGTGCACTTGAGTCCAGAATCCCAAGAGGAAAATGGAGAAGGGATTGCAGCACGGCCACCCCCACCAGGAGGTGATTTTTCATTTTTCATTCTCTCTTTCTCTGGTGAGAACATGTGCCCTTTAGCAAACTAAAAAATAAATAAAATAATTTTAGGCAGCTGGATCCATGGTGCAGCGCTGCTGGCACAGCCAGGTCGCACACATGATAACCACATTCAAATCTCTAGCTGGTCAGCCGAAGTCCTCTGGGCATGCATACAAGTGCCCCAAATCCAGCAGGCTGGGGAAGAGGATCCCAGTGTGACCAGATCCTAGAAGAGTGCTCGTCATCTCTCCCCTGCCTGCCATGTGCCCACTCTAAATAAATTATCATGATAAGATCATTTTAAATAACTATGGTAACTTATTTTTTAAATTGTACCTTAAATTTAGGGTGCATCTTACATATCTTAGTACCTTAAGAACCAATATAGTAGGTGATCATGAACATATCAAACATTACAATGGACGTCCTATATATATGAAAACATGTCAGTGTCATTTTGAGAAATTATCTACAATGCTAGGCTATGAGCATAATACTTTACATGAGTTTTCTCATTTAAATTTTATAGCAATTAAAAACAAATTTTCGGAGAGGCTTTTGCTATAGGCTGCGTATGCTCACCAGAAAGACAGAGAGACAGAAAACGAGAAATCACCTCCCAGGGGGGATGGTCACAATCCCTTCTCCTCCATTTTCCTCTCGAGATCTTAGGCATGTACACATACACGCCTGGCGTGAGTTTAAGTCACCGGGTCCAGGACTCGAACCATGGTTGACTACAAGGGAGTCCAGCGACATAGCCATTACGCCAACTGCTGGTCCCACAATTTTAAAAAATTAGTACAATATTTGTTTTCTGAATAAGGAACTGCAGTACAGAAGAGTAAGTGATTTGTCCTGGTTCACACATATATAGATCTCACACTCAGCTGCTGAATTCAATAATCCAAACATTGGGACCAGCAGATGGTGTAACGATTATGTCATTGGACTCCCACATAGTCAACTGTGGTTTGAGTCCCAGACCTGATGGCTTAAACCTCACACCAGGCACATGTGCATGCGTGTCCAAAATCCCAAGAGGAGAGTGGAGGAGAAGGGATTGTGGCATGGTCATCCCCCCTGGGTGATTTCTTGCTGTCTGTCTCCCCAGTGAGTGCACACCCTCTGAAGTAAAAAAATCTCTCTAATGTGATAGTAATATTCAAAAAATCAAAAGGTGCAAGAATTTTCATGAAATTTTCATAGCTATTTCCTAATTGCCTGGACAACCTTGTACCAATTTACTCTCCCTACAATAGAACATGAGAGTGTGTGTGTCCCACATCTTAGCCAGCAGAGGCTACTCTCCTGCTTTATCATTTTTGCCAGTCTGTTAAAGTGAGCCCATCTTCTTCTTAAATTTGTAAAATCATCATTTCAAATTTAGAAAGCAAGCCGCCAGGTGCAGAACTCCAACTGCTTTCGGACTTATGGCAGTCCAGTGCCCCCACCACCATGCCACCTGCTGGCCCCTATACATGTATACATTATCCTTGAATACAGATCTGTATGCATTAAGTGATGCTTCACGGTTTTGCAACATCTCTGTAAATCAATAGGAAGTCTCACCCTAGATGAGTGAGTACTTGAGTTCGGAGTAGTTCAACTGGTCAGAGTTAGATTAGTCTCAATGACAGTAAGAGAATACTTTGCAAATACAGTGTCAAATCCAGACAAAGTCTCCTTCAGGCTGCTCTGAGGGAGATCTGATTATTTTATTTATGTAAGGAATAATGGATCAACATACCTTTTCCTCCCTTTTGCTGGAAAAGGACAGGTGGTACCAACTGGTTTTCAGTTACGCTCTGAAGAGATTGATGAATATTTCCTTCCAAATAGAAGTCCGCAGCACTATTCTACATAAATAATGCAAAAGGATGTTAAGTGGGACCTTCCCTGTGATCCCATTGTCTTCTAAAGTCAAAAGCTGACAGCAGAAGGAGTGCTAAGTAGCTGCCAGATTCTAAAAGGTCCTACCCCCAACTGTAGTCAGCAAGTTCCCAGGGAAGACCTAGTATCACACTCTATGTAGGGAGAGGACCAAGTGACCAAAGGTGATCTCTGGCTTTGTGATGAGTTCCATGTCCTCCTCTCACTATGAAAAAGCAAGAGAGGATTTCTTCTCTTCTTCCCCTTAAAAATGCCCAGTGAGAAAGAATCATTAGTAAAGACTGAAGTGCCAGCAAAAGGGAAGATAGGCTTCCATTCCTGCACTGGATGCTCATCTGGGCAAGAGGCAATAAAAGGAGGAAGACAGCTGGGACTAGCAGATGGCATAATGGTTACATTGCTAAACTCCCACATTGTCAACTGCTGTTCGAGTCCTGAACTCAGCAGCTTAAAACTCACTCTGGGTGCATGTGTGAGCATACCCAAGGATCCTGAAAGGAGAACGGAGAAGGGATTGTGGTGTGGCCATTCCCTGTGGGGGGTGATTTCTCACTTTCTGTCTCTCTGTCTCTTGTCTCTCCAGCAAGCATACACATCCTATAGCAAAAATCTCTCCAAAGGAGAGGAAGAAAGAAAAAAAGAAAGGAAAAGAAAGAAAGAGAAAGGGAAGAAAGAGAAAGGAAGGAAAGAAAGAGAAAGAAGAAAAAATAAAGGAAAGAAAGGAATAAAAAGAGGAGAAAGATGGCAGCCAAGAGAGGGAAGGCTGCAGCCCAAGCTGCCATTACATATAACGAGGATTAATAGGATACAGTGAGAAGGGCTGGACTTGAATCATTTTACCACACCCCACATGAAAGAATTGCCCAGCAGGAAAGAAGCCCTCAACCATAGGAAGATTGTGTGGTACATTCTAGAGGTCTGGAGTTGAAAGTTGCCTGAGATAGCAAGAGAAAATACTGGGCCTCTTGGATTTCAACTGGCGGCCCTAAGTGGAGGTAGAGGAGGGTCAGCTGCAACCCAAACTCCTGCGAAGATACGTCTTGTGAAAAGGCCCTGAGAAAAACCACTTACAGGGACAGAAAAAAAAGACATCTGAAATAGCACGGTTTGAAAGTAATGGTTGAGGGGTCAGCAGATGGTATGGTGGTTAAGGCACTGGATCCCACATAGCCAACTCTGTGGTTTTGAGTCCCAGGCCCACTGGCTTGAAAATCACCCCAGGTGCACATATGTATGTGCCCAAAATCCCAAGAGGAGAATGGAAAAGGGATTGTGGTGCGGCCATACCCCCCAGGGGATGATTTCTATCCTTCCCCCTTATTCCATTTCTATTTGTCTCTCTCTGGCAAGCGTATGCAGCCTATGGCAAAAATCTTGAAAAAAAAAAAGTAATAATTAAAGAAAAATCAAAACCATTTGTATCTACATGCCACCACATTTAGACTGCTCAATAAAAGGAATGCATGATGGAAACTATAAGAACACACAAATGGAGAGATGGTAAGAACATCTCCCTTTGCAAAGGGCTGCTAAAATAGAAATGAACTGATTCAATACAAGTAGCTAGCTAGAGCAGCAAAGTCAGTGCAGGCAAAGTGTGAGCTTTTGTCCTATGGCTTTTAGGGGAAGGTTTTTGCAGTTTTCCAGATAGGCTGAGGATAAGCAGTGAACTGGGAATCCTAAAAAGAATACCAGAGACAATGGGAGGAGGATGGGACATGGCAGAGGGTTAGGGATAGGGAATCAAGGATGGAAAAAAAAAAAAAGGAAAATGTAAAAGACATAAGAAATGGAAAATTGTTTGTTGATAACATGTATGTTGATGTGCTTGATTGAGCCAACAGACAGTGTATTTTGGATGGAAAATTCATTTTGTATACTGTAATGATGTATAGCATATTAATGTTAAAAAAAAGAAAATTAATTAATAAAAAAAATAATGAGGAAAAAAAAAAGCCTCTTCTTGACAGAAGTTTTCAACCTATCCTGAGACTGGGTAAAGAGCAATGAATGATGAGGGGCTGGCAGGTGGTATGGTGATTAAAGGTGCTGGATCTCACATAGCCAAACGTGGTTCGAGTCCCAGATCTGGTGGCTTGCTTTCTTGCTTTCTTTTTCTCTCTCTCTCTGTCTCTCTTCGATCAAATTAAATCATATTAATATTAATATTAATGACAACAAAATAGAATTGAATAAATAATTTTTTTAAAAAAGAGCAACAATGAAGGCCAATTTCCTTCTTGACATCATTGATGATCGCTCACGAGGACTACCAAATTCAGACCACACAGATGACCGCCAGTAAGCATGTTCGCAGTTAGCAATGTCTTTAAACGGAGTTTCGGCTAGTAAATGCCAAGAGAAAGGCTGGTACAAATAGGAAATTTGCCTATGATTGGAAGAGGGGTTCCTGGTAGAGGTACTCACTATTATGGTTCTCCAATTATAGAAAGGTTCCTCTGGAGGCAGCATCCCGTAGCAGCTGGAACTTCCTCGGACATGAGGATAATGGTTGATGAAAGCCAGGTAATTTTTGTAATCTAATATTAAAACAGAAAAAGAAACGGAAAAAATCAGAGTGTATTTATTTAGGCAGATAGATAGATGTTTGTTTATACTTACGTAGAATTGCTCGTAACTTTAGTTTCTTACCACTTTGTACTTTCCCTGTGTTTATTCCATTATCCTGGAATTACAGAAACTTTTTTTCTTTAGGTTTTTGTTATAGGGCATGTGCACGTGCAAGAAAGAGAGAGACAGTGAGTGGAAAAGTGAGAAATCACCCACTCCTTCAAGGGGATAGCCACGCCACAGTCCCTTCTCCGTTTTCTTCCTGGGATTTTGGGCCCAAAATCGCATGCTCCCAGTGTGATTTTCAGCCACAAGGTCTGGGATGCAAACTGTGATTTGACCCTGTGGGAGTCAAGCATCTTAACCACTATGCCACCTGCTGCCCCCTACAGTCACTCTTTTACATTTCTTTTCCCTTTACTACTGGTGTGCATGCTCCTTGCAGGAATGTCCCACAATGCCCTGCATTAACAAAAGGCAACATATTTGTGCCTCATCCATACAGTCTAAAGGCTAATGGGAGAGGATGGATAAAAATACTTATTTTTTTTTTTGGGGGGGGAGGTTTTTGCTATAGGGCGCGTGCGCTCGCCAGGCAGACAGGAGAGAGACAGAGAGACAGAAAGCGAAATCATCCCCCAGGGGGGATGGCCATTCTGCAATCCCTTCTCCTCCATTCTCCTCTCGGGATCTTAAACATGCACGCACACGTGCCCGTCGTGAGTTTTAAGTCACTGGGTCCGGGACACGAACCACGGTCAACTATATGGGAGTCCAGCGACATAGCCATTATGCTAACTGCTGGTCCCAAAATACTTATTCTTCCAAGTAGACTATATCTAGGGGAGGGCAGACAGAAGGTCTGTAAGATAAATTTAGAAAAATTAAGAGCCTTTTCTGAAGAGTTAAAGCAGTATGTGCGTTAGATACGTGTCAACCAGATATCCTTCAGAGCAGATAATCAGGTTTGTGTCTTCCTGTGCAAAATGTCATTTGCTATAGTCTCATTTTTATGTGAGACTTTAAATTTATTTCAGCTGGATAACCTGGATGCTTTTTGCATTGAAAGCATTGATTAGAATCAATCCTAGGTGCATTAGGTAGAAATGGTCTTCCCTGTTCTGATCATTATTCTTACATTGTATGTAACCAACAAGCCATCTGATGCTACAGCCAAAGAGGGCAAATAAGCCCAGCATAGTGACACAGTCGTCAGCCAACCGCAGTACAAGCTGCAAGCCACATGGCCAACCACAGGCTCAGAGCCTCCAGGTCGGCCTACTCACCAGGATCCTGATGAGTTAGAGTGCCGTGGAAAGGGATTCACTGTGTGACAAGATCTTATCAATGTGTCTCTCTCTCTCCCTGCCGCTCTCTCTCTAGAGCTCATACATGCACTCTCATGAATAAAATAAATAAACTTCAGTAAAGAAGGTAAATGACTTGTCTTTACCTGGCGAGTACTGAAGGTCTCCAGTTGAATGTTGCCTCAGTACCTCGAAAGCATCTTCGAATGCTTGACCCAGCTTGTCTTGTTCAACACAAGTCTGTTGGTACAATGGCAGAACTCTGGAGTTACAAAATTATCAATTCAACTTGATTTTTCTGAAACGACATAGTGCTTAGTCTAAAGGAAAGTTTCTCAGTCTCGGCACTGTTGGTACTTCGAGTTGGCTAAGTCTTTGGTTTTGTTTTTTGTTTTTATGTTTTTTAGGGGGTCTGTCCCATGCAGTGTAGGGTGTTTAGCAGCACTCCTGTCTTCTACTCACTAGATCCAATAGAATTCCCATGGCCATGCTGATCAAAAATGTCCCAGAGGGAACCAGCAGTTAGCATAATGGCTATGTCACTGGACTCCCACATAGTCGACCGCAGTTCGCATCCCAGACCTGGTGGCTTAAAACTCATGCCAGGCGCGTGTGCGTGCATGCCCAAGATCCCGAGAGGAGAATGGAGAAGGGACTGCGGCGTGACCATCCTCCCTGGGGGGTGATTTCTCGCTTTCCGTCTCCATGTCTCTCTCTATCTGTCTGGCGAGCGCACGCGCCCTATACCGAAAACCTCTCCAAAAAAAAAAATGTCCCAGACATCACTAAATGACTAAATGTACCCTGGGGGACAAAAAACAATCCTAACTGAGAGCCACTGCTCTATGGTGTATTGTGTAGAGAATGGTATTCATTTCATAGGATAGTACTTAATATTCTTGTAAAATTTTGGCAAGGAGTTGTAGAGCAAGGATGTTGATTTTTAAAAAGGGATCAAGGAGGGAGCAGCATATGGCGTAATGGTTACGTCGCTGGACGCCCACGTAGTTGACGGCAGTTTGAGTTCCAGACCCAGTGGCTTAAAACTCACACCGGGAATGGGTGCATGCATACCCAAAATCCCAAGAGGAGAATGGAGAAGGAATTGCATCGTGACCATCTTTCCCAGAGGGTTATTTCTCACGTCCTGTCTCTCTGCTTCTCTTTGTCTCTCTGCTAAGTGCATGTGCTCTATAGCAAAAATCTCAAGAAAGGGGGGGGTCAAGGAAATAACTTTAAGAGAATCTGTGAATCATTAGTTAAAAATGAAAAGATCTTTATTTCAAGAGTATTATCTCTAAGACTTAACATTAAATTGCTTTGCAAATCATTTTATACTTTTATTAATTTGATCCAAATCTTCTACTTTTAAAAGAGAGTAAATAAGATTTAAAAATACCAACTTACCATTCTTCATTAATAAATTGATGACTCTGAAAAAGTTCAATATTTAAAACACAAAATTAAATACAATCTCTAATTTACTTCTGAATTAAAGATCTTGCTCAAAAATATTTTCTAAAGCTATCTTATGTAAACCAAGAGTATCATTTGAATTCTCTTTGATGAGTACAGATTTTCTTTCTACAAAATTTCCTACAGACAATTGCTTTCTGTCAATATAAAACTTTCTAAATGTTAAAATAACTAAAAAGAGTTAATTACCTGAACTGCTTAACTGATAAGGGAATAAATATTGAAGTAATTCAAGAGTATATTTAACTATTTCAAAATTATTCTAAGCATTTAAGTAGTTTAAAATATTGAAAATCAAAATCTTGTTTTGTTTTTACCTGAGCACAGCTCTCCTTTATAACAATAGGTTTTTCTTAAAGTTTTTGGTGACATATAGGCTTCTGAGAATCTGGTAAAAGATAGGTTTTTCCCCTGAAAAGTGGCTTTACATTATAAATCATGTAAATTAGCCTATGAAGCCTATGGTAGGCTCCCAAGATTCTGAAGTCAAGAATTCTGGCCTTGGGACCAGCAGTTAGCATAATAGCTATATCGCTGGACTCCCATGTCGTCGATCATGGTTTGCGTCCCAGACCCGGTGGCTTAAAACTCATGCAGGGCGCGTGTGCGTGCGTGCCCAAGATCCCAAGAGGACCATGAGAAGGGATTGCGGCCTGGCCATCCCCCCTGGGAGGTGATTTCTCGCTCTCTGTCTCTCTGTCTGGCGAGCGCCCGCACCCTACAGCAAAAACCAAAAATCTTCCCCAAAAAAAAAAAAAAAAAGAATTCTGGCCTAAGGCTAGCCCAAGACATGGTGGTTCTGATGGCTGAATCCTACGTGGCTGACTGTACAGTTCAAGTCTGGACCAGTTGCTTGAAAAATGTGCCACCGCATGAGTGGGAGTATCCAAAAATCTGGAGAGAAAAACGGAGGAAAAGGAATTGCCATATGGCCATGTCCTTTGGGGAGTGCTCTCTCTCTTTCTGCCTTTCTCTCTAGCAAATACATAAGCCCTACATCAAGATTTTTTTTTTTTTTTACATCAAGATTTTTAAAATAAAAAGATTTCTGGCCTGTATACATTCTGTTACCTACCTCCTTATCTCTTTCAGTAACTTAGGTTTTGCTTTAGTTATCATAGACTTACATTAAATGCTTTTTAACCATGTACTATAGAAGAACACACCAAACAAATGCACACAAAAAAAAATGAGTGATAATTAGGAGATCACAATGCTTATCGCTTTATTTAGCAAACCCAGAAACACAGCTTATACAAGTTCTTAGCTCTTATCCTATAAACACAGTGAGCTTTTTTTAGTGTTTAACACTGAATAATATAACAATGAGATGATATAATCTAAAGCTAGTATTATACATACCCATAATTTATCAATATAACATCTTAAATAGCAAAATTCTATTGAAATCACTATACCATGCCATTGAAACAAAAATATGAAGAGAAAATCTATAAATTACTATTCAGGCTATAATGTCTAATGAATTTTATCAGAATCATATCTTTTTCTAAAAACAATTCTCAATGACTTTCGATTAATTATGCTTCAACTCAAAAGCCCTAAAATGCTGAACGTTGTATTTTATACTAAATACTTCAAATCAACTTGTTCTCTTTGACTAAAGTACTCAAGACTATAGTAATTCTTAAAAGAAGCAACCCCCGGAAAAATAAGCTTGAAAATATTATCGATCACTAGAATTGGTCAATTATTTCTTAGTCAAACAATGAGAAACACTCATAAGACCAAAGGAGAAAGTGAAGTTACTAAAAAATATTTTGAAAAACATAAGCCAAACACTTACCAGGAAGACACTTCAACCCTTTGCAAAGTTGTTTCATTAGTATCTGAATTTTTAGGACACAACTATCCAGAACACACTGGCAGAGTTGCATTAAATAGCTGTTTTTTAAGGAAGTGCTACAAAAGGGGATTTTTTTTAAAAGATACAGTGCCTTCATAATTTCTATTTCATGATACAATTGACAGGGGGGGCTATTATTTTGAAGAAGCACATCATAGTTTGCATCCTAAGGGCCGAAAGCATTCAAACAAGCCAAGTGCAATCTCTGGCTGACTTCAGCCATGGCTCCTTGGTGTGCGTGTCCTCTCCCGGACACCCCTGACTTCTACAACGCGTGTCCGCTCTTCTCTTTTCACTTGTATTGCCTCTCTCCCAACTCTGGGCTATCGACCTTTTACTACCTTTCTTGCCTGGATTATTAGCAGCCTTACTCTGACCTTGCCTAAACAGTTTCTTTAAAGACTAAACCACTGGGATTCACTATCTTCTTACTTAGAGATCCTAAAGACTCAGGACCCTGGCCCTGGCATGTAGACTCTATGAACAGCCTTAACTTTATTTCCCAACAGTCCCTGAAAAGAAAATGGTGGGGTCATCAGGCGGCATGGTGATTAAGGCGCTAGACATGGCCAGCAGTTCAAGTCCCAGACCCAGTGGCTAGAAACTCACACTGGGCATGCATGAATGAGTGCATTCCCAAAATCCCAGGAGGAGGTGAGGAGAAAGGATTGCCTTGTGGCCATCCTCTCTGGGGAGTGGTTTCTTACTTTCCCTCTCACTCTCTCTCTCTCTGGCAAATGCCTATGCCCTATAGCAAAAACCTTAAAAAAAAAGAAAGAAAGAAAGAGTAAAACAAAGGAAATGGTGGGGCCAGCAGACACTCTGGACTCCCACATGGCCGACTGAAGTTCAAGTCTCGAACATGGTGGCTTGAAAATCATGTAGGGCATATGTGTGCCTGAAATCTCAGAAGAGAGGAAGAGAAGAGAATGTGGCATAGCCATCCACCCTGGGAGGTGATGTCTCACTTTCCCTCTTACTATCTGGTGAGTGCACGCACCTGATGACAAAAGCCTCAAAAAAGGAGAGAAAGAGAAGGGAAAAGAAAAACAAAGAAAAAAAAAAAAAAAAAGAAGGAAATGGGCCCAGCTTGAGTGGTGAGTCAAAGCATGCTGAACCACAGTGCTGGGACCACATGGCTGGCTGCTCTGACTGATCCCCTGCTGGTGGCCAGGTGCTGTGTCTGTGCCCAAGGTCCTGACTAGCTGCAAGGCCCAGAGAAAGGGATTCTCCAGATAAGACCCTGTTATAAAAGGTGCTTCTGGAACCAGCAGTTAGCGTAATGGCTATGGCGCTGGACTCCCACGTAGTCGACCGCGGTTTGTGTCCTGGACCCGGTGGCTTAAAACTCACGCCGGGCGCGTGTGCGTGCGTGCCCAAGATCCCGAGAGGAGAATGGAGGAGAAGGGATTGCGGCGTGGCCATCCCCCCTGGGGGGTGATTTCTCGCTTTCTGTCTCTATGTCTCTCTCTGTCTGGCGAGCGCAAGCGCCCTACAGTGAAAATCTCTCCAAAAAAAAAAAAAAAAGGGTGCTTCTCTCTCTCTCCATATGTGCACGTGTGTTCAAAAATAAACTTTTACTGGGGCCAGCAGGTGGCATGGTGGTTAAGGTGCTGGATTCCCACGTGGCCGACTACAGTTTGACTCCTGGCTCTGGCAGCTTGCTTCCTCACTGTCTCTCTACCATGGGCACATGTACCCTATAACAAATTAAATCGTAACAAATAACATTAAATAACTCTTTTAAAAAATATTTTTAGGGACTAGCAGTTAGCATAATGGCTATGGTACTGGACTCCCATGTAGTCGACCGCGGTTCGCATCCTGGACCCGGTGGCTTAAAACTCACGCCATGTGTGTGCGTGCCCAAGATCCCGAGAGGAGAATGGAAGAGAGGGGATTGTGGCATGGCCATCCCCCTGGGGGGGGTGATTTCTCGCTTTGTCTCTCTGTCTCTCTCTGTCTGTCTGGCGAGCACACGTGCCCTATAGCGAAAACCTCTCCAAAAAAAAAAAATTTTTTTTTAAACTTTACAAATCCACTTCATGACCTAGTGGTTAAGAAATCACTATCTCTTGGGACCAGCAGATAGTGTAATGGTTCCATCACTGGACCCCCATGTAGTCAACTGCGATTTGAATACCAGACCCGGCAGCTTAAAAAACTCATGCCAGACATGTATGTGTGCATGCCCAAGATTCTGAGAAGAGAATGGAGGAGAAGGGATTGCACTGTGGCCATTCCCCGCCCCGAGGCAGGGGGAGGTGTGATTTCTCAATTTCTGTCTCTGTCTATCCCGCGAGCAAACATGCTACACCCTATAGCAAAGATCTTTCTCAAAAAAAAAAGAAAGAAAAAAAAAAGAGGGAAAGAAGAAAATAGAAAGAAAGAAAAAAAAAGAAAGAAAGAAAGAAAGAAAGAAAGGGACCAGTAGTTAGCGAATTGGCTATGTCGCTGAACTCCCATGTAGTCGAGTCCCGTCCCGGACCTCGTGGCTTGAAACTCACGCCAGGCGCGTGTGCGTGTGTGCCCAAGATCCCGAGAGGAGAAAGAAGGAGAAGGGATTGCGGAGTGGCCATCCTCCCTGGGGGGTGATTTCTCGCTTTCTGTCTCTATGTCTCTCTCTCTGTCTGGCGAGCGCATGTGCCCTATAGCAAAAACCTCTCCAAAAAAAAAAAAAGAAAGAAAGAAAGAAAGAAAGATCATTATCCCACATGTCAAAGGCATGAATACTAGCCCTGGTGGCTTGGAAACACATGCATGGGCGCCCAAAGTCACACTAAGAAATGAAGAAGGGATTGTGGTGCGATCGTGCCCCATTTTCGGGGAGTGCTTCCTCCCTCTCTCTTGGGGCACGTGCACTTGCAGAGGGAGGGGTGTAAGAAAGCTGGAGTATGCCACAATCATTTCTCCTCCATTCTCCTCTCAGGATTCTGGGGGCACGGGCACACGTGCCCAACATGTTTTTCAAGCCACACCGTCTGGGAGAACCATGCCCTCAGCCATGTGGGATCAGCCGCCTTAACCGCTGCCACTGGCTAGCCCACAATTTAAATACATAACCAAACAAACTTGAAAAGAATAAGGAGAAACCAAAAAAGAAGAAGGTGAAGAAGAGAACATAGAATCCATACTATTGGCTTTCCTCAACATCTGGATGCAGTAGCCACATTCCCTCAACATCTGGATCCAGTAGCCGCATTCCCTCAACATCTGGATCCTAACTCCAGAAAAGCTGGGAGAGGCTCCTGGGCGACAGTCTGGTGGGAGACGCTTTGAAGAGGCAGCAGCACTGCAGAGCAGTTCTCCAGTTCTCTCACTTAGCGTAAAGTTGACTCGGATGGGTTTTGGTGGAAACCGTGGGGTGCTCCCTCCACCTATCATGTCTACCTCTTTCCCAGTCCAGCCCTCTCCGCATTCACACATTTCATCTTACCTGTCCATCAAAGCCCAGTCTAGCATCCGCTTGTACAAGGTAAAAATAACCTTCTCCACCGAAGCACTCGGCTGCATCACTCTGAGCTAACTGGTAACCTGCCATTTTAATAGCTGTCACATTTGCCCAGGGGGAAAACTGCCTAAGAATTTTTGGTAAACCTGTGGGCGGGGGTAAAATGAGGAGGGTGTGCGATTTCAAAGCTGTCAGTGATGTTCTGTTTTGCATCTTACAATTTGCATTGCTCTTGAGCTCACCTTCGATAGGACTATTGTTCTAGATTGGCTACTTTTTTGAGCCAATTTGTCATGCAAATGAAAACATACAGCCTCTCTTCTGAAATGCAGATATTATAATACGAATTATAAAACTGTTATCGATACACGTTGATTTGTTTTTAATCTGTACTAGCCCCTGTGCCCACACCCTTTTCAAACCGCCCTATTTCATTGGATTCCTTTATTCAGCAGCTATATACTAATTAGCTGTGCTGGGGCACTGTCCTAGGTCGGGGATCCTCAGCACGCCAGAGAAATATTAGATAATGATGTGCTGAGGAACAACACCACAGGGAGAGGTTGTAGAGAGAGTGTGGGCTCAGGGTGAATGACAGGGGAACGTCGGAGGAGGGAGCGGGTGTGAGTTAAAACCCATGGCAAGGGAGTAGAAGTGAAATAGACACGAAAGGATCTGAAGGAGTACTCTTGCAGAGGAACCGGCGGGTGAAAAGAGGCTTATTTAGGGCACAGAAAGAAAGCCAAGGGAGGGCCAGCTAGTGGTGTGGTGGATCCCACATGCTGGACCATGCAGTTCAAGTCTCAGATCCCGTGACTTGAAAACCACGCTGGGCACATGTGCATGTGTGCCCAAAATCTCAAGAGAAAAGGGATGGTAGAGTGACTCCCCCCCTCCCGTGGGTGTTTTCTCACTTTCCTTCTCTCTGTCTGTCTCTGGTCAGTGCATGTGCCCTGTGGGAAAAGTCTTTTAAAAAGAAAAAGAAAAAGAAAGAGAGAAAACAAAACAAGGAGCTGGAGGAAAATGAGCTTGGAGCCCAAGACAAACCTGGAGAGGAAGGAGGAGCTCCAAACTCACTCATGGTTCAAACCCGAATGTGTTAGAGTAAGATAGTGGTTACTTGAGTAGCCTCATTTCACAGAGGAGGAAACTCACTGAGGTTCAAAAGCATCTTGTGATTTTTTTCTTTTCTTTCCTTTTTGCTTTAGCGAGATAGTTGCTATAGGGCACGTGCGCTCACCAGAGAGACAGAGAGACAGCGAGAAATCATGCCCCAGTGAGGGATGGCTACACCACTATCCCTTCTCCTCCATTCTCCTCTCAGGATTTTGAGCACACACGCACACGCCCAGCATTAATTTCAAGCCACTGGGTCCTGGACTTGAACTGCGGTCAGCCATGTGGGAGTCCAGGACATAACTGTTATGCCATCTGCTGACCCCATTGTGATTTTTTTCTTAAAGTCCAACTACTAACGAGAGATGGGTTGGGCTAGATCCAGATCTAGGTCTTCCCAATTCTTGTGCACCGTGTCAGGTCTGAAGCCCTGAGTGTGTGGT